TAATATCTTGTTATTGTATACATATCATAAATTATTAAGTAAAATTATTGAGTTCATAACTCACGTCGTATTGCAGTACAAACCAAAGTTTACGAAATTTACTACCAGGTGTATCAGATAGAACTGACTCAAAAAAAAAAATAATGCTAATTAAACGTACAAAAAACATTGTGAAATTAATAACAAATAAATAATTTAAGAAATATACTCATTTTAGGAAATTTCCGAAAATAATATTTTGAAAGAAGTTATTACGTTCCAAATTAATTTATGCAAAAAAATATTGATATTTTAAAAAATTCTAAAAACTAAACTAATTGATGTAGATAAATATTTTTACCATCAAAATTTTTCTTTTAACCAAATTTACAAATTGGCAATTTTTGAATTTTTCCAATAAAAATTTAATCAAATTTAAATATTTTTATTTTTACTAAAAAAATAAAAATATTTTTTTTATATATTGTACGTGTAGCGCAAGTGTCTCTTAATAATAAACAAAAAAAAAAATTAAAAAATATTAATTAGAACAAAAGTTATTCCAAAAGCCAGTTCTATCTGTTACACCCTGTATAATAGTTTTATAAGTGGCGGATTTAACGGTCGTTTAGTCGGCAAGTGACGACAGAGACCCTCCTAAATTGTGCACCTAAATTTTAAGCTGATTTTTAAATTTTAACTAAAAAAAAAATATACATCGCAAACTGGAAAAAATTGATCATTGTTTTAATAATAAAACAATTTAAATATACAGGAATACTTCAAAAGTATAAAATGTTATAATTAAACAAATTAGAAAATATCGTACTAATCACTTATATAGGTATAGGTACGTATAAAGTTATTACTTATTCTGCATTCTACCCACTATATCATTTATCACAAATATGAAATAATATTATTTATAATTATAATTGGTGCAATGGTGCTACTGCAGGTGACAGGTGTATCAATTTTGTTGAATAAGTTTTCCCATACAATAGGTACAGATTAAAATACAACAATACCAAGAACTCTGTTGTCGCGAAAACTAAAATGTCCATCAACATTCATTTCCGAATTGGTGACTTGTAAAATATATTATTTTAATTATTTGATTCCAACTCAACGTCACGACAAGGCACATGATTGCACGAAAAATAAAAATAAAAAGGTTGTAAGTTAAATAACAATCTTTTCATTTGGTACTTAATCAGCGGCACTGTGGCGTAAAATTATGTCATATTGGATACCATTTTTGCGATAAATTCGCAACGTAAATAATATTGAAAAATATGGTAAACAAGGCTGTGGAATAGTGAATTACACTATGTTTTACATGTCACAGTGTTTGTAAATTTAATGGATTTGGGCATGGTTTCCGTCACAGAATGACTTGGTTGGTTATTTATTATTTCTTACAAGCCAAGCGATCGGCTTTGTAAAATGTGGGTTAGCTAGTATGTTACTGATACATTTTGTACGAGGCCCTTCTTATGAATTTGCTGACTTTATTTGAACCCTTAAATCCACCACTACTTTTATCTACTTTGAAAAAACTAAAAAGTATATTAAAATTATAATCACACCAGATTTATAAACACAGAAAAACACTTAAGGCTATACTGGGTGATTCTTTTATCAAACAACACTCATTATTTCAAAAAGTGTAAATTTTTTTGAAGATATTTTTTTACATAGTTTCAAGTTGCTTATACAACAACGTTTTTATTAAAAAATTATAAGGATAAAAAATATTTAAAAATATAATTTTTTAATAAAAACGTTGTTTTATAAGCGACTTGAAACTATGTAAAAAAATATTTTCAAAAAAATTTACACTTTTTGAAATAATGAGTGTTGTTTGATAAAAGAATCACGCTGTATAAAAAAAAATATCATCTTTAACGATTAAAATGTATTGTATTACTCGTTTTTATCTTGACACTTTAACACGTAAAACATTAAGTCTTTCATTCTTCGGGTCTATATTGAGACGTCAAACTCATTTTATTTTCAAACACCTGTATTATCTCATTGAATAATAAATAATTGTTTAAGAGGACGTAATACTGGTATTTGTTGTCTCCGTCTTACCACTGCGTAATATGGCAAAATTACGCTCGGCAGAACATTTGTAGCTTCTTTAGTTTAAAAACTAGAGTGAATTGACCTATTATAAAACTTGATGGTAAGAACATTATCTGTGTTTGTACGTTGAATTTTTACGATAGTTCAATTTTTGAGTGAGTTATGGCCATTTTTAGTTTACTGTATATTATATACATATAACTTGCTAAAAAATTGAATTGTCGTAAAAAACCAACGTACAAACACAGATAATGTTCTTACCATCAAGTTTCATAATAGGTCGATTCACTTTAATTTTTATCATAACTTACTTAGTCATAATATTTATTAATGTGTACATTATACACCTATACATTATTTACTTGTTTCACATATTTTGTAAACATTTTTATTTAAAAACGTTACCTATTTTCAATTTTGATCCCCAATCCAGAAATAGTGTAACAGAATTATTTAGTATGTAGGTATCGGTATGTACGTATTTAGAATACATAATAATATAATATAAGTATATAACATTATAATGTATAAAGAATATAACAATATATATTTTACATTTATGTGATTTGAATTATAAAAAATCAACTTAACGTGATAATAAGTTGATTATCTATAAATAAATTTAAATGTTTAGCATATGTTTATCGAATGAACTACGACGTACGACGTACCTATATTGTTAAAATTACTTAATTATTTATATACAAATTAATTTAAAGACTATTATAAGTTATGACGCGGTCTTTACAAATTACAATGCATTTTATCGGCCAGCATATTATACGACCCGCCATCCTATTCTACGTACTACGTAGTAGCCTGCCGTATTACGACTTTAAACCGTGGGCGGCAGATCGTTTCAAACGACACCAAAGATAAAAATACGGAAAAATGATGTAGGTACCTCCTTCTCATGAGGCCATTATATTATTATATATTATCCACATATTAATATTTTTAATGACAACAAGTCAACACAGGTACCTGTTGAAATCTGTAATGATTTTATTAACTGGCAACAGTGGCAACTACGGTAATTACGAATATGTTCAGTTAGTGAAATGAATTTGTATAGTACCTAAAAATGTATAATTTTTTTTTATGTACAATACACGCTTTATGAAATTATTTTACACAATAGTGTGAAATGCAGGGCTTGAAACCGGTATTGAAATCGGTTTCATATACCGGTTAAAACCATTACAAAATCGAAATCGAAATTGAAATCAAAATTGAAACCGTAAAATGTTGATAACGGTATTATAAATAATAAAAGAAACGAATAAAAGTTGAAAACCGTTTTGAAAATTAAAATCAATACCAGAAAAAATAGATAACGGTATAAGTAAACGAAATCAAAACAGAAAAAAAATATATTCATTATTGTAAATTAAAATCAAAACCTATAAAAACGGAAAACGTTATCAGAAAATCTAATCAAAACTGAAAAAAATAGATATTGCTATTAGAAATTGAAATCAAAACCGAAAAAAACGGATAATGCTATTAGAAATTGAAATCAAAACCGAAAAAACAGATAATGTTATTAGAAATTGTAATCAAAACCGAAAAAGGCGGATACCGCTATTATAAATTGCAAAATGTAGTGTACACTGGATAATAATAAGAATAAAACTTTACTACCAAATTATTAGAAGGGCTCATTGACGCCCCCCGTCTACTAGAACGACTCTGCATTCATGTTCCAGGCAACACTATAGGTCACAACTCACAAGATTATTTTTCCCGCCAATATGCAAAACGAATTTTGCTAAAAATTCCCCATTCATAAGAATGATGTCCATTACCAATAATAGTAAGTCTCTAGTACCAAGGCCACATTAATGTTTGTATAATTTTATATTGTTACTTTGTTACTTCATTATTACTATCATTATTTTACTATATTATGTTCATCTATATAAATATAATATGTGATGTCCCATTATATATCTTGTATGTAAAAAGCCGAATGGTGTTAATTCATATAAATAAAAAAATAAAAAGGGGGGTCAAGTTGATGTCGCTCTGCTGTACAGTAGTTTATAAGTTGGTCACTGTAATGGATGGTATTAAATTTGAATCCAATGATATAATATCATTTTATACGAAAAACGATTCTCAGCGAAGACTGTATGCTATGATACTACTACAATAGGTAGGCATATTTTATTATTGTTATTAAAGTAATTAATTTCAGTATTAGGCATTAGTATCTACTACAGTAGGTTAAATTCATTTGTCCCAAAACATATACATTTTTAAATGTCATTGTGTGTATACATTTTATTTAACGGTCCCCATTTTTTAGTGAACCCCGACACAAAGTGTGTAGTCCAAAATTGAAAGTGTGAACTACGGATTTGATAAGTGTGTACTATAAAATAAAATATAAGACTATAACAATAAATAGATTATAATTTATAGGTAGTAATGTACGATGTAGTACCTATACATAGTAGGTATACTGTATATTAATTAATAAATATAAATATGTATACAGCGGTTATTTTATATTAGAAATAGTAATTCAATAACAAATAACAATATTATATATTTATATATAATAATATACATAATATTATGTATGTCTACATAAATTCTATCAATTATTATAAATAAAATTATTATAACCGTCGTCTAGAAGGAAACTCCGTCAAGCCTAAAGCTGGTTACACACTGAGCGGTTTGTCCGCGCGCGGTCGCGGTTTTTATCCGCGGCGGTTTAAAACCGCATCCGCCGTTTTGATACACACTACAGGCGGTCTTTCTTCGCGCCATAATTAAAATAAAATAAAGTGAATATTGGGGCGAGTTGAAGTAAATTATATTATCAGTTGCATCAAACACGTGGTAGAGGTAAGACCTTTGTAGGTATTTGATTTTAGTTTTCAAGTTAAGAGTTAACATAAATATCACCTATACCTATAATGGACTTATTAAACGATGTTGAAGCCATAGCTGTAGCATATGTATTACAAAAACGTAATAAAGCTGCAAAAAAGGAAAAATCCAAAAGGAGATATTGGGTACATCCGATTAATATGAAAAGGATTAAAGAAGGTCAGTTTCAAGTGAACTTCATGACACTGAGAGCTCACCCTGAAGAATTTTTTAAATATTTCAGGATGTCTATAACATCGTTTGATGAGCTAGTAAGTAAATATATAATGATTAAATATTAATTTTAAATAAGAAAGAACCAGTGCCACAACTACCTCAGGTGCAGGCGGTACACCGCCTTATGGGCCTTAAAAATGTATGAATCCGGAGCCTCAGATTTTGTTATACATAACATACAAATAATTTTAAAACAAATATAAGAATGTAATAATTTTGAACTTCGAGTGTTTCAAAATAAATATTGCCTATAGCCATAATTTTTTGACATGAATTTTTTTGGTTACAGTGTGAGCTCCTTATGTGGATCATTATTTTAAATATTTAATTCTTTTAATATAAAAATTTAACATTTTATAAATATTTAACTGAAAAATAATTTGTACATTTTTAATAATAGGTATGATCCATTTTGTCAAAATTCGAAAATTTAAAATGCTATAAAAAAAATCTTAATAAATATTTTAGCAATGTGTGAGAACTGAGGAGCCTAAAACTAAATTTTCAAGCATTTTGACCCAATGAATAAAATTTTATTGACATTTATGGAATAAAAAAATTCAAAAATTCAAAAATTGACAACTGAAAATGCTCGTTAACAACTTGAAACGAGTTAAAATATTTGGAAAATTTAACAAGTATAAAAATGATAAAATAAATATATGTTGTAAATAATTCAAGAATCTACGGTTATTCGTTTTTGAATTGCAACAAGATAAGAAAACACCCCCCCCCCCCACCATCGATCTTAGCTCATTAATCACCGACCCAAAATTTAGACACTACTGACGAGTGACGATAAAGGGGCCCTAAAATTAGCTTGCACCTGGTCTTCAAAATTTTAGTTGTGGCACTAGACAGAAAATACTATAATATGTTAATATTTTTACCTTTGGATAACAATAAATCGGATAAAATATTATGTAATAATTTCTATTTTTTAAGATTTCACTGGTTAGACCATGCCTATCAAAACAAGTGACACATTTGCGCATTCTAATTTGTACAGAAGAACGACTGACAATCACTTTGCGGTAAATAAATATTTACTAAAAAAAAAAGTTAACTCAACTTTAATGCTGTCATAAAAAAAATAAAGTTTAAAAGCTTATAAACAATTGAAATATAAAAAAAAACTAATTATAGTATAACTGAGGCATGGCAGCAGCCGATGGCGATTGGTAAGCACCTAGTCCTAATGAAGTTGATGAGGATGAAGGCAGTGTTATGTTGACATTATTATGTTGACGATGGTTTGTTGCGGTCGAATATGCGTCATAAGAACGGTCATAGAAAGTTGAGATAGGAGGTTGTATGGACCATGAATTAACATTATTGATTGCCGGAGTAATATGTGTGTATTTTGGCTAGGACTTTTTGTAACTTTTTGTATGACCTGCAAGAATTCAATGAAAATTTGGTTTTGTTTTTCTTGATTTAACAATTTGATTTGTGGCGCCAACGACATAAGAAAAGAAGATACTGGATCTTCAACTTTTCTAGTTTCCAACAACTTTAATAAATTATCTTCAAAATACATTTTCGGTTTTTTTAATAACTTTCGTTTTTGGGATTTTGGTGTCTCTACTTCCGAGTCGACTACACTGACATCAGGATCATCCACATTTTTCATTACTTCCGATTCAACTTCTATATCCTCTTCTGGTTCACTCTCGGGAACATTACTTTCAGTCCTATTGAAATAATAGTTGTATATCATACTTCTGAATTTTTTCAAACGATTAATTATTTGTATATGATATGATGTAAATGTTTTTTATTACCTTCTGTTTTCCATCGTATAGGTCTTAAAAACTGTAAAATATTTGAATAAACATAGGGTTTTTCATTTTTTGCAGCTTGTCCAGATTTCTTTATACACTTCTTTCGGTAGGTATCTCGTATGTTCTTCCATTTCAATTTAAGCTCCTTTACTAATGAAAAAAAACATGTTTTTTGTAAAAATTATTTACATTAAATGCAACATAATATTATGTTCATTGAAATAATCTAAAAATTAAATTTTCAACTTGTTGGCCCAACGAAAAAAAATGTATTGGCATTTATAGAAAAAAAACTAAAAATAATTTAAAATTTAAAATGTCTACAAATTGCTCTAAACAAGTCAAAATATTTTAATAAATATTTTTAATAAATCTAATGATGTATAGAAAATGGTAATTTTTACATCCGGTGAAAAAAAAAAAAAAAACTTGGCTGTCACTAAACTACTGCACTTGGTCTCACCACTATATATATAACTATAACTACTACGTCATAATATAAATCTATAAAACAACATTCATAATCGAGATATTGAAAATCATCATGTAAAATAAATGTATTAATTTTTAATTTCAATACACTTTGCATTGTTACGAATAGAATAGTTTTTATTTTGCATTTTAAATTTTAGAATTTTAGAATTTTTGGGGCATTTAGAGTTTTTCTAAAATTTGAATTTTAAATTTTATTTTAAAATTTGTACATGCTTTTACATGATTTTTATATAAATTTAACAAATTATATCTATATACAGGTTAAATACATTTATGATCTAAACCTAAAAAAAAGAAATAATACATTTTTTAGATTAAAGAAATCAAAAAGTTTGTCTGTTCTGTCTTAAAAATTTTTTTACAATACTTTAATAGTCTAAAATGTAAATTATCATTTATACCAAATTTGTAGAATTTTAGAATTTTAGAATTTTAGAATTTTTTTTTAGAATTGATATCGATCTATTAAAAATTAAAATAATTTAGTGTATTATTCGGAATTTTCATTGCATCTTTTGAATTTTTTTAGGGCATTAAAATCCCAGCCTTAATAATAATTATTACGTTAATTGATCAAATACAAGCCAAGGGGGCCACTGGCCCTAATCCCCCCCCCCTCTTGCGGACGCCCTTGTGTGACATTTATTAGTTTTAGTTACTTTAAAAAAAACTAAATCTTTTTCGTCAAAAACTGATTTTGCGTAAAAATCCCCGTATTTACTTAATTTTTTGTTTGTAACTCAGAATGAAAAAATTGACTTCGAAAATGGTCGACATTCAGCCCTATAATATTATAACTGTATCATTGTAATTTTTACCATATTCTGCAGTATTATTTCTAATGATATATTTATTTGTTGGATAAAATATAAAAGGATATTATAAGGAATAATCTATCATATGATTTGAAATTTGGTAACAGATACTTAGCAACTGGACAGCACTTCTCCGCATTGCATTTTGAATTTTTGGCTGGTGTGTCAACTATAGCCATGATAGTCCGAGAAACTTGCAAAGTTTTATGGACAATTTTACAACCAACTGAAATGGCAGAACCCACTACAAATGATTGGCTTAGTATAACTAAAGGTTACTTTGAAAAGACGCAGTTCCCGAATACTGTTGGTGCAGTAAGTTATTTTATATACTTTTTAGTTTTACTAAGTAATAATCTATATATCGATGTTATATAATAGCTCTTTATATTTTTTATAGGTAGATGGAAAACATATACGGATTGAGTGCCCAAAAAGTAGTGGCTCGTTATACTATAATTATAAACACTTTTTTTCACTGATTCTTATGGCTATTTGTGACTCAAATTATTGCTTCCAAATCATCGATGTAGGGTCATTTGGTAAAGAAAGTGATTGTAATGTGTTTAAGACGTCAACGTTTGGTAAAAAACTTTATGGCGATAAATTAAACTTTCCACCTGAACAATGTCTACCGAACGATGAACTTGGTTCACCACAACCATTTGTTCTCGTGGCCGATGAAGCTTTTGCTCTTCACAAGAACCTATTACGTCCCTTCCCAGGTAGAACCTTAAACGACAAAAGGAGAATTTTTAATTACCGTTTATCGAGGGCCAGGCAATACATCGAATGTACCTTTGGCATCATGTCTAAAAAATGGCGAGTTTTTCAAACAAATATTTTGGTTGAGCCAGATGCTGCAGTTATAATAACAAAAGCTTGTTGTGTGCTACACAATTTTGTACGTCGCCGTGATGGCTTTAGTGTTGAAGATACCATGAGTAGTTCCTGCATGGAGAGTGTTCAAAGAAGAGGAGTAGGAAACATTCAAAAAAATGCCAAAGACGTCAGGGAGTATTTTGTAGAGTACGTCAATAACCCGAACCATGCACTTGACTGGCAAAATACAATAATTGGCAAATAATATATAATCAGATATGTTTTAAAATTGAAAAACTTTTCTTAAAAATTATAAAGTCTATAATTTGTTTCTATTAAGGTGTATTGGTTTTTAAAAACCAATTTGTTTGTTTTAACTTTTAAGGTCAAAAAATTTGTTTATATGTATAGGTAACTAAATGACTGAACTTTAATAATATAGGTAGTGTCCATAATACTTAAAACGTTCACAAAATGTAATATCTATAAAGTATATTATAATGATTCAAAATACTGTGATTAATAATTAATAATAATTACTACCCTAGTATTTATGTTAATTAATACTTTTTTATTTTACTACAATAATTATTACTTTGTATTCAAATAACTGATAAAAATAAATTATTTATTACATACTTTTTTCTGTTTTTTTTTTATCGTCCATTTCGTCGAAATGTACTGTTGTAGCACGAGCCACGTTGGTCCATCCTACATGGAGAGCCTGGAGATCGTGATGACTACTTTCTTCTACATTTCAAATACATATTATGTATTATATTAATATTATATGGTAAGTGTTTGAGGTATGAAATATTTCGCAAAAACGTGAAACGTTGAAATTTTTTTTAACACAAATAAAAACACTATTTTTTAACACAATGTTCAGTGTTCTAAATTCTAATGTAAGAATTCAGTAGGTACCTATACAATATACATGTATAATATTGTATACCTACTTGCATCATTTGAACATAAAAATATTTATAAATTTTGAATACTACCTATTTTAAATGTATAATACCAAAGGTTAGGTATTACATAATTTATGTATAAGTACCATACAATTATGAAGGTAATTTATGACAATTATATGTAAATAATAAATATAAAACTTATTTAGGGGGACGAGGTGGCCGAGCGGTCGGACACGTCATCTGCGGCGCTGGCGGTCGCGGGTTCGATCCTCTCGACCACTGGGCGGTATTTTTCTCCGGGCAAGTCACGGTGTCCGGAGAACAAGTGCCGCCATCCCCCACTCCGGGGCATGGCAGAAACCTACGGGTGCCCCATTCAAAATTCTGCCAAACCCAACACACACGTGTTCCTCCCCCTACCGACATAACAACACACAAATAAAACCACTACAGCTAATGGCCATAGTTGCCGAAGCTTAAGATCAATAAAAAAAAAAAAAAAAAAAAAAAAAAAACTTATTTAATAATAAAACAAAATGTATTAAAATACTGAAATATTTCACACATTTCAAATATTTCATGAAACATTTAATTTTTTTAAATTTCATGAATTTTTCCAACACTAAATATGGTATTCAATAAATAAAAATATATTCTAGTCGTTTAATATGTAAAATTATACAAAATAGGTACTTACGTTTATTCCAGATACACTCATTAGCTTGTATCACTGCTATAAAGTCTTCAATGTCAAACATGTTTAGAAAAACGTTGAATGAAATCTACTCACTTCAAAAATAATTTCGTTAATGGCAAATTTCAAAAACCGCCAGCGGATCGCGGCGATCAAATCGCCTGTGTGAACATGTCTATTGAAAAACCGTTGTTTATTTATAGCTGGTAGACGCGGTTTTCCGCTCAGGAATTGACATGAGCGGTCGCAGGCGGTTGTCCGCGACGCTCGGCGGCGCGGTTTTCCATGTATGAATATGCCAATTGAATAACCCATGTTTAATTGTAGGCGGTTATCCGCCGCGGATAAAAACCGCGACCGCGCGCGGACAAACCGCTCAGTGTGTAACCAGCTTTACAGTTGTCCTACACGCGTCTTGTGTCTACACTACATTTGACTATTTGAGATTTGCCATTCTGCCATCAGACGTCTACTGTGCACGTTACTAATCTTTAATTTATGCACGTTACTATATTCAATTTATATTTTATACTACATTCACTAATTCACTCAAACTATTAAAAATAAACATATAAGTACATATTCATTAAATACAGAATGTATTTATTAATATTAATCAGCATTAAAATAATAAAATGTAATCTTCCCTTATCCTTCCATTTGTCATATTGCCTGAATTGTATACTGCATTACTGCCACACCAATACAACTAAGTTATAAGTTACAACCACTAATATCAGTTATCAATATATTCAAAATTATAAATGCAGTACCTACCTATCTATAAGGTTAGGTTTAACATCAAAATGTTTCGACTTATGAAACTTAATTGTAGAAACTATGAACACTATCTGTGTTCACACCCTACTCCCCGCACAGACCACCATTGGTTAGTAACTTATTTTTGTATGTTATGTGTTAGTAAGACAGAGAAAAGACATACGATTACAATGTCCTCTTAAATACTTGTTTACAATTTTTTTAAACTTAAAATTTAAAGGTGAAACCAACATATTTTATTTTATTGCAATTGTTATTTCATTATTTGAAATCGAAATCGAAAATAAATAAAACTGGTATTCAAAGTCAAAACGGAAAACGTAATTTACCAAAAACGGTATTTTAAATTGAAATCAAAATCAAAAATATATAAAACCGGTATGCAAAATCAAAACGGAAAACATAATTTCTTGAAATCGTTATTTGAAATGGAAATCAAAATCAAAAATATTTAAACCGGTGTGCAAAGTTAAAATGGAAAAACGTAATTTATCAAAAACGTTTTTTCAAATTTAAATCAATACAATTACTATACAAAACCGGTATGCAACGTATTAATTGAAACTACAATTTTTTAAAACCGTTATCTGAAATCAAAATCGAAATCGGTAAAAGTAAATACCGGTAACCGAAACCGAAATTGAAATCCAAAAATTTTTTTTCGGTTTCAAGCCCTGGTGAAATGTGTACAAAAAAAACTAAAATCATTAAAAATTGTTTAAACAATTGTTATTCATTGCTTCATTTCTCATTACCAATGAGTTATTACTCCGTATTTATATTATAATAAATTTCAATTTTCAAACGGGAAAGTGCTGAGTAACAAAGTCTACATTTTGTAAAAAATTTCAAATTTGCATATATTTTAATAAAGGGATTTAAATTGTATACCGTATATAACCTTTGTAATCGTATAAAATGTATACCATCATGCCGTCGGTTATAATAATAATAACAATAATTGTACCTAAAACTATAAATTAATATGTAAATAAATATGTGATGGTATATTATATGATAAAATTACCGCGCTTTTTGGTGATGTTATAAAAATGCCGAAAGTAAGTGTTTAACCATCGGGAATATTTTTCCCGCAATTTGTATTCATGAACTAAGTACTGATTTTAAACTATGAACATAATAAATTATCCATAATTTATACATTTTTAATTTTTAATGTTTTTGCAACTAATTTTAGTATTTGACAGCATTAATAACATGAAAATATTGATTATTAATAATTATACTGATTGTATGACGGCTCTGATTTAAATGAGGTACATACAATCGCATGAGTTTTTTGTTTCAGGTATCTATATGGATGAATTCTAAGTCACACACAAGTGCAATACGTTGCTTTATTTTAGTAACTATTGTTTAGGTAGGGACTTATTTTGTAGGAAGTACATTTGAGAAAAATGTCTAACCCTCATAATTAATTTCCAAACACAAGAGATACAACTTTGGGTGCCAAAATTGCCCCTTATAACATTGTAAATACACTACAGGTACTAAAAGGTACAACTGATTTTCATTTATTGATATTTTGTAAAACAAGTTGCTCAGCTCATTTATTATTATTATATTATGTTAAGACACATTATTATGAAGGCAAATTCCCAAATAATTCAATGCTCTAAAAACATATTAACAATATAATATATGAGCAGTTGTCATAATAATGCACTTAAAATATATGCACTAGTTGTACAATGCTACATTCAAAATTAAAAAAAATCCAAAGAACAGCTAACCTTAGCCCATGACAAACCTTTAATTTTAATTGTAATTTCAGGGATGTAGATAAATCCTAAGTCACTGTCTAGTGTTATATTATTATGTTATAATGATCATATTAAATATTAAAATATATATTTTTCTTATAATGTGTAATAATTGCTTTATTTTAGTAAGTGCCCTAGAAATGTTGTAATGCAACAAAACATACAAGATTTTTATCATTTTGTGTGATTTTACTGATTCGATTATGTGAATAAATTACTGATTTGTTTATAGCTACATGGGTTTTTGAGGTAGGCACTTGAAATTTCCAAGGTATTTAAATACGGTACAACTCATACCGTGTAAAAAATTTCATAATTTTCTATATACTATTGCGGGTTTTAGAGCAAATCAGCAGTTTTCCTGGACGGCGGGGCGTGATTTTACTGATTCGATTATGTGAATAAATTACTGATTTGTTTTATAACTGCATGGGTTTTCGAGGTAGGCACTTGAAATTTCCAAGGTATTTAAATACGGTACAACTCATACCGTGTAAAAAATTTCATTATTTTTGGTTAAGTTTTTAAGCTAGTGATATTTCTGCGACAAGTAACCCGGAAGTGAAAATCGATGGGGCAACCTGGAATTTGGTAGGGAGTTGGAGGGGGGTATTATAATGGCACTTGTGAAGTTTGAATTTTTTCGGACTTGGTTTGCCCATGCTACGGGCGCTATGGCCCCAAATCAGTAAATCAGTAAATTAGGCAGTACCATAACATCCAACAAAATGTTTTCTGTTCCATCAGTGCTGCAACATGTTATCGACTTGTTGGAAACAATAATTTTCTGTTGCGAGTTATACGTTTAGGGCCGTTCTTACGATGTCCGGTTAAAGTTAACCGACACTTAACCGGAAGAATTCTGCCGGTAATAAAATCTGTTATCAGTCGGTTAGCGTTAACCGACACTTTACCGGACATTGTAAGAACGGCCCTTAGTCTAATGTTTCGCGCATGCGTACAATGCAAAATATTAATTATTGTGATAATGTTATCTTGATTTGACAGTTAGCTTAAAAGTTAAAATACTAATTATTAATTAATAACTATTTTATATTTTTATTTTATTTATTGATTGACATTTTGAGAT